TTATTTATAATTGGATAAACAAAATTTTTCAGACAAAAGTTATTTGTTCTTTCTTTTTTCTTTCTTTTTTCTTATCTTTATTCATAGAATATGGTGGTAAAATTTTGTAGAAAAATCTTGGAGATAGAATCTACATAATATATTATAATACATAAGTGTATATACGTGTCTAGAAAGAAAGTTTTTGGATTGAATTTCAATGGCATCTATTAATCAAAAACAAGTTACGGTAATCGAGTGAAATAGTTATCGATAGAATAGCAAAACAACATTCGGATCGCGTGATAGGTCTCTTTGTTTCTCTTTCTCTCTCTCTCTCTCTCTCCCTTTCTCTCTTTTTCTCTCTTTTAGGAAATCGATGAGTGAAGGGACGTTCGTGTCGTTATCAAGAATCGCTAGAGGTGATAGTTGGTGTCGTTTGGATGCGGCTGCACGTTCTCTTAGTATAATATCGTCTTGGCGTTGATTTGTCACTTTCACTTTGTTCTCATTCACAAAACTGCTGGAACTATCTTATCTATTATTTTATCCAACCATTTATCGTAAAAAATACATCTCCTAAGCTATTTATCATTGTATTTATTACGAATAGTTTTCTCATCAATTTAGTTTTCCTCTCATACGTTTAACACATTAAATTAATTTTTATTCAAATCATTATTATACATCACGATATGGATCGTTTATTTTGAATGTGGTGTAAGTCTGTTTGCAGTCTGTAAATATACATTATTTTAATGAAATTAGCTTCAAATTAACGTATATTATCAAATTACATATCAAACATTGTCAAACTTGATATAATTAACAAATATTTTTAAATAAACCAATATGCAAACCTTTAATTTTCTTAAAACAACAGAAAATGGACTTACAGACCAGTTTCAAAATAAACTGTCCATATATTCGATATAATTTTATATTCATACGTATAAATAATGATTTAATGTTAATTATTTTGTTTGTTTAGAGAGGATAATAATAAGCCGAATCACGTTCTTCTATTTACAATCATCAATCCAGTATATCCCATTACTGTGGTAAGTATTAGTAATAATTATTTTCAATAATTAACAAACAAAATATTCACATCGTTAAAGTATTTTCTTTTTTGAATTTTATTTTCAACGATAAACGACGAAGAATCGCGGTTAAAAATATTTCGTTGAAATTGATTTGATAAAAAGGAAAAAGGAATTTGTGTTGTCCTACATTATAAAAACGATTAAAACGTTACGAAGAAATGATCGTTCAAATTTTGATATTACAATCACCACCACGACTACGTAGAATCGATATAATTCTATTAAAGTTATCGATTGTAGAAAATTTTGTTAATAGAATAACGAGTTCTATCAAAAAAAAAAGAAAAAAAAGATATTTTAATCGGATTTAACTAAGTCTTGTTGCGAATTTATCGAATTAGAAGTGATTTTTGAACGCTTCAAATGGCAACATCAAAAATGATAAAAAACAAGGGTTGTTCAAGGATGAAGTACCTTGCAGTTTTATCAAGTGAATACTTTTGAATATGCACTTTGAAAGAGAAATGGCGTTTGTTGTTACGTGAGAAAAGGGCATAAGCATGTTATATAGAACGTGTTTACACATTGTTAAAAAGAAAATGATGATCAATAAATTCTCATATGTGTTTAACTGTATAAAAAGAAATATATTTATTATTCCATTATAATCGGAAGAATATATATATATATCATATTGTATCAAATAGTATTATTGATATAAGTGAGTAAACAGAGAGAATTCGCTTGGATGTATTATTTATTATTTATTCGATTTATTTTTCATTTTCTATCTTCAATTATCCAACAATTTTGATGACAACAAACATCGTCGCGTTGATTTGTCCTAGCTCTTTTAAAAAAGCATTTAATATTTATTTCTATATTTGTTTTTTTTTATTTTTCTTATTTGCACATACTTATTATACTTTTATCAATTTCTGTTCGAAATAGATTTACTGAAATTTTAATGTAATCCTTTTATTTCGTTTTATTTTTTTCGAGCTTTGGAATTTATGAGAGATCCGAGACAATTAAATATTTAACTTTTATTTGTGTACAATGTTTATAAAATCAGCAATAATAATAACAATATTAATAATGGTAATATTAACCCTTTTTTGCATGATGATGGAAATTTCAATCATAATATTTAGTCAACAAAAAAAGGTACTCAAAACCCTTGTACTGCATATTTGTTGTTGTTGGCAACTTTTTAAGCGACTATTGCGTACAACAAAACGCACTTGTCAAAAAATAGTATTAGGATTTTTTTTAAAATATTTTTCCTTTAATCTAGAGCATTAATTACATCACCCTGATTTATTTTAAAAAAAAAGAAAAAATCATGCAAAGAAGGGTTAACGATAATAATAACATTTTTAAATTCAGTGTTAATAGAAAAAATAAAATATTTCTTCATTTTATTTGAGTAAACTCGTATATGGAAAGGACTTTGAAATATTGGACTTTGAAATATTGGAAGTAAACATAATAATAATAATAATAATAATAATAATAATAATAATAATAATAATAATAATAATAATAATAATCACATGATAAAATTAATAGAACGATGACTACGATAATATTCTGACAATGATAATGATGTATAATATATTTCTTTTCTTTTGTTTTATTTTATTTTATTTTATTTTATTTTATTTTATTTTATTTTATTGGTTTTTTTTTTTTATATCTAGCGATTTTATTCGCGGCAAAAAATATTTAAAGGAAGAAAAAATTTCAAACAAAATGCACTGATTTAATTCTATCTGAAAAATCTAATTAGAAAACGCAGACGAAGTAGAATAAATGAAAGAACAATATGATAAAATTATGGATATCAGATATAATATTGTAGATAGTATAGAAAATTAAATCCCCTTGTCGTATTTTAATGAGTAAGACTCGTGATGAAAATTTCTAACCAAACGTGAATATAACAAGAGAGTTCATTCGACTCGTGGTTTTAATATCGGGTCAGATATTTATTTGAATAAAAAATATAATTTACCGTTCTTTTTTTAAGAAACACACCGAGAATTTCATTAATTCTTTGATAATTTAGACACACAATTCTTCTTCAAAACGTCGACTTTATTTCTACGAATATTTTTTATATTCACTCTGGTCGGAATTTTTCTGACAATAAGTTAAACGGATACGGCAAGTAAAAAAAAACAAGAAAAAAAATGTGGAGGAGGTATTGACCAATCGATGATCGCGAAATTCAAATGCGGGAACGAAGAACGCGTAAAAAACGGATTATTGGGGAGGGGTAGATAGGGGGGGGGGAAATCTATGCAGATAAAACGTAGATTCGTAGAAGAAACGTTAGAATGTATGTTAAGTAAATGCAAATAATCGGACAGAATACAAAATTGAAAGCAGATGTGTAAGGTGTTTCAGGAATAAGAAAAAGGTAGGGACGGGAATTGGACGATGAAAAAATATTCCGTAAAAATAGGAATTGAATATTATACCGAAGATTATCAAATAAATCAAAATCAAAATGAAAATAAATATCAATGTAATTATATAGAATTTTTATTTAACGATTATAAAATAGTTTTAGAAAACGTTATGTTCGTGTGATTAAAACTATTAGGCGAACACGTGTCGTTTTTCTTTTAAAAACTGAAAAACAAGAAAATAAAGATACATTTAAAATAAAGATAAGTATAGTATGCATACATTTTATTGACAAACAAAGTTGCTATTTATATTTTTGTGAGACGCAATATTCGAAATTGTTGTTGAAATAATATAATATAAAATTTATTTATATATATTTT